CCATCTGGACGTAGGCTAGGGAAATAACAAAAACAAAACAAATTAAGCCCTTCCTGTTAAAAATGTTGGATTCTAGGATAATGAAAAGGTTATTCAAAACAATTAAAGATATAACCTATAGATGTTACATCTGACAACAAATCATTTCCCTCAGCCATGGCACTGTCGATAACATGGAGGTATTTCAAACACTCACAGTTTAGTCAACCAAACTTCTCTCAATAATCTTCCAATTAAAAAGACTTTCTTTCTTTGAAAAAATTACAGCAAAAGTGCTAAGTAATGTTCAAACAAGGATTACGTGCTCATCACAAAAATTATTCTTTTCTATTCCAATGATTTAAATGATACAGTATTTAACTCATTAAGTGCTGAAAGGAATTTAGCAATTTGAAAAGTAGTACAAAAATGCATTAATCATCTATTAAAAAATTAAAGATGGTGCCTCTGAGAAGGCATCAAAAATAAATGAATGATTAAATAATATAAACAACAAAAAAATAACACTCCAAATATTTAACTCACAAATGTGTGTGAGAAACAACTGGAATTTGTTAACCTGAACATGGGCTTAAAAAGTCTCAATGTTTTCCTAATAAGTTATAGTTGATTAAAATCTTTAAGAATATTTCCAAGAATTCTATCATGTTAAAAATTCTTGACTTTACCAATCTTACCTGCTTTGAAAAGCAAACTTTAAATGCTTCTGCTTCTAGTCCCCAAACCTTCCAAAGTATACTGTTTTACTGTACGTTGGAACGCTGTGCTGCTTCGGGTGTGGAAAGCCTGATTTTGTAGCTCAGTTTGAGCTTATTATTATGGACAAAATGTACACAGTGTTAACGGTTATGAAACTGACTCTGGCTTCTATTCCCATAGAAACTGAAAATACACAACCAAAAATGAGATCTACTGAGAATGAGTGCTTAATTGAAGACATCCCACATTTGGTGATTGGGCATCCGTTTCCAGAGAAGCCAGAGTAAAGGGGCAGCTCGGCAGCTAAGCCGGTAGGACTTTTTTTAAAAAGGTTTTAGCTTAAGTCTGCCAGCTAGATTTCTAGTTACTGATATTTTTGGTCCTATATTAAGTAAAATGCTTCCTTAGAAGAATGTAAAGAAAAATATGAATAAACATCTTATACATTATGATAATTACATGTATATCATTAAAATGCTTAGTAAACTGCAGGCATATCTTCTGAAAAACTATTATAAACAATAGTACATTCCATACTTGGGGGGAAAAAGTTGAATATGAGGAATTATAATATTGAGAGGAAAATGGTATTTTAACAGAATTTAGCAGTTGATTTTTTTCACTAGTATCAAGTAACCAAGAAGGTAAGAATTTGGTAAAATTATTCTTTTCATGTAAATGTTGGAGAAATAATTCTTTTATAAATTTGTTGTTGACAAGAGACCATATGAAATCCATATACAGAAAGTATTAAAAGTATTTTAAAATTTGTGGAAAAATAATCACAAATATGAATACAATGGAACTCATAATAATGAGCTGTATTTTTACCATCACTTTAACACAGAAATACAACCAAATAAATCTAAGAAGATTTCGGTTTATAATGGTCTATAAAACAATCTTTAAGTTAAGTGCAATAAGCTATGTCAAAATGCATCATGACTCTCCAACCACCCAATACTATACGCTGGTGGTACCTGTACTTTAGGAAGAGCTCTCTCTCACGTAAATTGAAGACTCTGCCACTTGTTAACATCATGCGAGTTAGGCACACCTGAGCTTGGTGCTTACATACTACATGTCGTTTTGATCACTTATTCCAGAAAGAAGGTGATGTGATTTAGTATCTTTCAAAACAGCTAGAAAACAGCACTGTCATGGTCAGAAACCCTACGAACCACACAGCCTACTTCAGGAGTCGGACTCTCACCGGACTGATGATGCGTGTAGTGTCCGGACGCCTCGGCAGACTGCCGCTGCTCACTGTCCGGAGAAGACAGCAGGGACACAGAACGAGGGCTTTCTGTAGGAGACGATGCTGAATGAACCTGAGCTGACACTGCAGAGGGTGTAGACGGCTGAAGAGTCTGTTCAGTTGGAGTATCCACTTCCATTGCAGTTTCACCCACTTCCAAATCAGGACTTGAGGGCACCGTAGGAAGAGTTGAAACATCTGACTGACTCGTTCCACCTTCAAAAAACAGATTTACATTTTAAATACACGTTTAAATTTTAAATGCATGCTTTCTAAAACAAACTAAAGAGATGTGTTCAGGAAACACAACTGAGCACATGCACACACAAACATATGATTTCAGGATACCAATAACGTCCGCTGGTAACTTCGAACAAGCTAAATAAGAGGAATAAAATTCTACCTACAACATGTTTTCATTAAAATGATTAATTAATAATAATACAAAACTTGCTTATCTGGGCCAGTCAGTAGTGCAGTGGTGAACGCAGCTGGATCCCATGTGGCCAACTGCACAGCTCTAGAACTGGACCTGCCAGCTCAAAATACATGCTGGACGCATGTGCGTATGTGCCCAAAACCCGGAAGGGAAAGGAAAATGGAGAAGGGACTGCAGCATGACCATCCTTCATGGGCAGTGCTTTCTCACTTTCTTGCCCTTTCACTTTCTGTGGCAAAATTAAAATGACAAAAACAAAAAAACTAGTTACCTATAAATGTTGATATATTTCCATTCTCAGAGTGTAGGAAAGGGGTTCAAAATGGGGCATCTCAGAGTTATTTGTTTTTAAGAAAAGGAAAAGGTAAGTGATAAAAGTCTGGTGTAACTATCCAATATGTTTGTCCTCTACTGCTTCAAGCATGCAATACATTAAAAACCTTGTGACCAGCAGATGGCGTAATGGTTATGTCACTGGACTCCCACATAGCTGCTGCAGCTCTCTGTCCCAGACCCGGTGACTTAAACTCAAGGGGGGGTGGGGGGTGGGGACAACAGATGGCATGGCGGTTAAAGGCACTGGACTCCCACGCTGCTGACTGTGGTTAAAGTCCTGGACCTGGCGACTGGCTTTCTCACTTTCCCTTTCTCTCTCTGGTCAAGTTAAAAAACAATAATCACAAATAAAAATAAATAAATAAATAATTCGTCGGGGAAAAAAAACAGCTTTGTGACTACTGTAAATATAAAACATGGTATAAGATGATATACATAAAACTGACTCCAACAGTTTTTGTCAGCTTTCTGATGACTTTAATTAATAAAAACATTACCTCTGGGTCGAGATCTTCCTCGTCCCCTATTGCTTTGTGCAACTTCACTTGCTTCTTCGAACCATCTTGATAACATGTCGGACATTCTTTGCATCAAGGACACATTGGGACTTTGCTCACCTGTCACGGCATAGGTCCTATCAGTGAGCTAGTAACAGGTCAGCCTCTTCACGAATGCAAAACTGGTATCGGAAGTGCTTAAACATGAAAGCAATGAAACAAACTCCCAAAGCCTGAATAAATGACAGGAACGTCTAGCCTACGAGAACCATCACCAAGTGTCACAGCGATGGCGTACCTTAGAGTCCCTCCATCTGCATGGCGAGCGCCTTGAGCACAGAGCTCCAACCTCGTCCAGCTTCACCTCACCATACGTACCCCTCCCACCCCGCATTCTTAGTCCCAAGAGCACCAGCCAAAAACAGGCTTAAGAATTCTGAGTTAAATAGATTAAAGGACTGGTTTTCAGTTTTCACTAAAGCATTATTATCAAGCAGAGATATAAACATCTTTATGTTTTCTCATGAATTTTCCTTAATACTTATTTTCTTCATCATTTATTGGAAGCGAATGCCAGATATTTCAAATGAACCAAAACCTTGTCTCTTTCCTGACTCCTTTTTCTCTCTGAAGTAAATAAGCTTTTTTTTCCCTTAAGGGGATTTTCAAATTAAGTTATAATGTCAAATTTAAAATATGACAACTATATGCTACAATCATATAATTCAAAATAGAAATAATTTGTTCTGGCATTTTCTGTTAAATCAATGTGTTCTTGCAGACTCTGTAAACATTTTTGCCGATCTATAATGTAGCTTTATATTTAAATATACATCGCAAAATACCAGGGATAATATATTCGGGAATATGCTTTTGCTCATGGCAGTAATCATTACAATAAGATTTTGGCAGATTAATTCTATTTTAAATGTGCCTTCTTCAAGCTCCCAAGATAGTTTTCTATATTAGTCAAAGACACTTAATAAAAACAAACAAGCAAAAAATTATGTGGTATTATAAAACTGTCATGTTAGAAATTCAGAGTTTTGGGAACCAGCAGTTAGCGTAATGGCTATGTCACTGGACTCCCACGTAGTAGACCGCGGTTCGCGTCCCGGACTCAGTGGCTTAAAACCCACGCCAGGCGCGTGTGCATGCGTGCCCAAGATCCCAAGAGGAGAATGGAGGAGAAGGGATTGCGGCGTGGCCATCCCCTCTGGGGGGTGATTTCTCGCTTTCTGTCTCTCTGTCTCTCTCTGTCTGTCTGGCGAGCGCACGCGCCCTATAGCAAAAAACCTCTCCAAAAAAAAATAAATAAAACTCTCATGTTAGAAATTCAGAGTTTTCATTTCTCTTATAGAAAGCCAAAAAGTAAGTTTCATAATACCCCATGTTCTACGGGGCAAAGGGCATTCTTATACTTTGGGGGAGGAGAGGAATATAAATAAGTGCATCCTTTTTGGAGAGTAATCTAACATCTTTCAAAATTAAAAGGAACTTAGCTGGTGATCCTGTCTTTCCAATTCTAGGAATTTATCCCTAAGAATATTTGCACAAGAATACCAAGACATATGTAAAAGGATGTTCATTGCAGCATCATTTACAATGTAGAAAAAAAAGAGAAGAAGTTAAAATATTAGTCTTTGAATACCATATACCAAAAAATGCAGATCAAAGTATAGTTACCATCTCGTTCTCGTTCACTCTCAGGCCTTGCCCTGGGTCCAGTATCTGACCAATCTCCACGAAGTCTCAGGCGCTTAACTGGCGGCTGTCTTAACTTAGAGATAAATACCATGTAAGTCTAAAAGAAAACTCATTTGCTCATTGCTCTCAACTCTTGAAAGCATACTTTAAATCTAAGAGATCATTTCCACCCCTATTTTACTGAGTACTCAAGTGAGAAGCCAGATCGGAGACCGAAAGACACCGATGGACCTTCAATCGGTCTTTCACAGCAGTCTTAGGGATGCTAGGCAGTCAGCGCCACTGCCGGCTTACACACCCCATGCTCAGTCTAGAGTCTGAATGCAGCAGCCTATAATCACGGGCACGTGCTTTACAGCCTGTGTGCCACGGACCAGCAGACGACGGGAGTGAGTCACCCACCTTGAGGGTCCGCTTTCGACTGTGATGACAAACGAGGTCAAGTCCCTAGATACCTAAACAACACTAGGAGTGGTTACTTTTACTTATTCTTGACAATTTACTCCCCAGTTCGCCCCGGCATCCCTCCCACCAACCCTTCACCACTTGCCTCGAGCGTTCTAACTCCACCTCGCCGCCTCATTCTCAGCTAAGAACTTTTCCTCCCACTGTGGAGAAAATAAAGTGCTACAGAAATGCCATCAAGTTCCGGGCTGAACTCTCCAAATTCATCTATCCCGATTACTTCCTAACTCCTTCCAACTCTTCTCAAGAGAGATAGCACTTATTCTGTTCAAACCTAGTCTCTCCTGTGCTGCTTCTTATTTTTTCAACTTGCTTCAACAATTATTCTCGCTTTTCTATACCTATATATCCTTCTCTTCTCTTTTGGTTCTTTCTCACAACTAAGAGGCTCCTGCCATTTTTGAAAAACCGAAGCCCCTATTCTGATTAAATCAGGGATGTGTGTCTCTCCATTGTCTTTGTCCTCGCCTTCTCAAGCTTTCTGCCGACAGCGTGTACTCATTCTCCCTACCCTTCCTCCCTCCAGCCACTGCAGTCACTCTTTGCGCTTCATTCACACCAAGCTCTCCACTGTCAAGCTCACTGTTCAATGTTAAGATGGTTGAGGAGATGGTCAATAATCACGCGCCAAGTCAAGTGGCACCTTTCAGAGCTCATGTGACACCTAGATGGCTTCTGACACCCTTGGCCGCTCTCTTTCACTTTCTCGCTTTAACTTCTTAGAACAGAATTCACATGGCACAACATTCACTGTGTAAAGCACAAGGCTCAGTGGTCCCTACGCACAGAGAACCCGCACAACCATCACCACTAGCCAGTTCCAGAATGCTGCGTCGCCCGCCCCAAAGAAACCCATTCTCCTCAGCAGCCACTCCCTCCGCGTCCCTCCACTCCACCTCTGGCAGCCACTACTCTGTTTCTTACTTCCTTGGGTTTTCCTACTCCGGACATTTTATATGAATGGGTTCATAAACACGGGCCTTCTGGGTCTCACTTCTTTCACTTAGCATAATGTTTCCACGGTCTCTTCACCGTAGCATATATCAGCACCTATTTCTTCTAATGGCTGAATGAGATTCTCTTTGATGGATATACCACCTTTTATACCATCCGTCAGCTGACAAACACCGCATTATTCTCACTTAGTTGCTACTGTAAATAATAGCAAATGTATGAGCACATGTATGAGTTTTTGTAGGGACATATGTTTTCAAATCTCAGTATGTATGTAGTGGTGGAACGGCTGGGTCATACAACTGTTTAATTTTTGAGGAATTGCTAGACTGTCTCCGAAGCGGCTGCACCTTTCTACATGGCGTATGTGGTAATGTGTGAGCCCCAGTTTCTCCACACCTGGCCAGTGCGTGTCACTGCACATCACTTTTACTTGGGCCATCCTAGCGGGTGGCTTTGATTTACATGTCCCTGATGGCTACTAATGTTGAGTGTCTCCTTATGTGCTTATTGGCCATTTACATTTCTCCTCTGGAGAAAAGCCTATTCAAATTCTCTCCCAATTTTTAAATTGGAATATTTTTCTTTTTTATTGTTAAATAGTAAGAGCCCTTTTTAAGTTGTGTATACTGCATTCTAATCAGATATATGACTTCCTAATTTTTCCCCATTCTGTGGGTCACTCCCTTCTTTAAGCTCATTTTTAAATAAAATACTCATTGATCCCCCCCCCACACACACACACAATTTAGGTTTTGATAAAAACTTGCTGACAGCCTATTCGTAAATTTTCTCCTGGAAAACTTCCCATCCAACGAGGTGAATAAAAGAAAAATCTCCATCTCCTCAGCAAAGCGGACAGAAAACACTCTCATACAGTCCCAGTGTGGGAGTACGGCTAAGAGCAACTGCAAGAGCAAAACCTACCTGGGCAGCCACAGGGCACGGCGGGAAGTAAAGCGGGCGAGGAAGCCTAGTGGGCGCTACCCAGAATCTTGGACAGACGACCCCCCAGAAGCAGAGGGCCTCAGCCTTTACATAAACTACATACAGGGAACTACCATAGGGCCCTATCCCACGATTGTGAGAGGAATTTCTACACCATATGGACAAAAAGCCAGGTTTTTAAACCTCAGCAATTAATTCTGGAACAAGATCTTCAAATTATAAACAATTCCAAGTTTGATTTTTTGAGGATGTGAAATAACCTAGTTAAGAATACTAAAAATAGAACAGAACTCATTTGGTCAGTCAGCAAACTGTTTCTGAGCATCTTTTGTGTGTTAGGTACTATTCTAGGTATTAGAAGAGTAATGGACAAAAAAATTTTTTAATCCTCCACATCACATCACTTACAGTCGAGTGGTGCAGCCAAACATTACAAGAAATAAAAAGGGAAACATACATAGAAAGTGGTAAATGTTACGGACAAAACTAAGCTGAAAGGGGTACAGGTATGACCGAGCTAAGGGGTGCACTTTTTCAGAGTGGTGAGTAGGACCTCATTAAATCGTGACAGAAGGCAAGACCTGGAATGCAAAAGATGTCTGAGAGAAGCACCTCAGGTGGGTCCAGCTCAGACACAGAGGTGCCATCTTCATGGGGCCAGCAGATGGCGTAATGGTTATGTTGCTGGACTCCCACATGGCCGACCGGCCATTCCTGGGTTGGGGGCTTGAGAATCATGCTGGGCAGGGCTGGCAGGCGGGGTGGTGGTTAAGGCACTGAACTCCCACACAGCTGACTGCAGTTCCAGTCCTGGGCCGGGCGGCTTGCTTTTTCACTTTCCCTTCCTCTCTGTCTCTCCCTGATCAAATTTAAATATGTTAAATTATTTTTTTAAAAAAGAAAGAAAGAAAAAGCATCATCTTCTAAGCTGGTGAGCAAGCCAGTATGGTGCGAGCAGAGCAAAGGAGAGACCTGACTTGACGTAAGTTCCACAGGGTCGCTTTGGCTGCTGTGTAGCCGGAAGACTGTTGGGAGTGAAAGCAGGAGGATGCTAGAAAACTACCATGCGGATGCCTTGGATAAAGGTACGAGGGTAGGAAGTGGGGGTCAGCTCTGGAGGACACTTTCAGAGACAAGTTGTGGACAACAGGAGAAAATGAGAAAATCAATTCAATAAAGAAGTCTAATCATGGGGTGGGGCAGGCAGGAGAACATCAACAAGATGCTGGAGAAAAAGGCATAGACAGACAAAGTAAAGGAACAAGGCAGGCCCAGACCTGGTGAGGAGGCAGGAGGGCGCCACTGGCCAATGGCTGAGGCTGCATGGGAGGCCTGGGTTTGGTTTCCAGTCCAACCTAAACAAGGCAGGTGCACTGGGGTGCACCTGAGGCCCTCGCTCACCAGGAGGCTGGGCCGGACACTCATGACATGGGCAATAAGGCCCTGTCAAAAACAGCCATTTCGCTTTCCCATTCTGGACCGCGTTGGGTCTACTTGTTGGTCTCTGCGATCTGAAAGTTGACAACTTCTTTGCGTCCAGGAGGCTGCTCCCGGCGACGCTGCAATCGTCACCATGCCACAAAACGAATATATTGAATTACATCGTAAACGCTATGGATACCGTTTGGATTACCATGAGAAAAAGAGAAAGAAGGAAAGTTGGGAGGCTCATGAACGTTCAAAGAAGGCAAAAAAGATGACTGGTCTGAAGGCTAAGCTCTATCATAAACAGCGCCATGCTGAGAAAATACAAATGAAAAAGACTATCAAGATGCATGAAAAGAGGAGCACCAAACAGAAGAATGACGAAAAGACTCCACAAGGAGCAGTACCTGCCTATCTGTTGGACAGAGAAGGACAGTCCCCAGCTAAAGTACTTTCCAATATGATTAAACAAAAACGGAAAGAGAAAGC